GTTAGTTGGCCTATATTCTTATTACTGTTTTTCATTGTTCTTTCCTGTTTCCAAACAACAACAACAACAACTCAAATTTCTCCCTTCTCCAGCTCTAAGAAGGCCTCGCAATGCCTTCTTTTTCTTTCCTTTGAAACCCAAACCCAATGGTGCCAATGTGGTTGTCCGGTTCGGTCTCTGGTTGCCTCCAGAGCCAGGAGTTGGCCCTTTTTTTTTGGACATTTCCTAAACAAACAAACACAAAGCCCCAAATTTCCCGGCAGCGTAGGCTGTGGCTTTTCCGGCATTGACTCAAAAGGCATTCGAATATCGAACCAAAATTATACCAGAAGATAATATCTGTGTGTGGTTTGCATGTCTCAGTCTGCGTTGGACTGGATGGTCGTTGGTAGATCTCCTCCCACACTAGGATTCTATGTATTTTTAATAGTCTGAATGGCCATCTGTCAGGAGGGATTGGATTGTGCCTTCCTTTCTGACAGATGGGTTGGACTGGATGACCTTTGGGGTCCCTTTGCACTCTATTATTATTATTTAGCAGAGGATGGATAGCTGCCATATGTATTTTTAATAGTCTGGATGGCCATCTGTCAAGAGGGATCAGATTGTGCCTACCTTTCTGGCAGAAGGGGGTTGGACTGGATGACATTTGGGGTCCCTTTGCACTCCAGGATATTATTATTTTTTTTTATTATTATTATTATTATTATTATTATTATTATTATTATTATTATTATTAAGCAGAGGATGAATGGCCATCATATGTATTTTTAATAGTCTGAATGGCCATCTGTCAGGAGGGATCGAACTGTGCATTCCTTTCTGGCAGAAGGGGGTTGGACTGGATGACCTTTGGGGTCCCTTTGCACTCCAGGATATTATTAATATTAGTATTAGTATTCAGCAGAGGACGAAAGACTGTCATATGTATTTTTAACAGTCTTGATGGCCATTTGTCAGGAGGGATCAGACTGTGTCTTCCTTTCTGGCAGAAGGTGGTTGGACTGGATGACCTTTGGGGTCCCTTTGCACTCCAGGATATTAATATTAGTATTAGTATTCAGCAGAGGATGAATAGCTGTCATATGTATTTTTAACACAGTTTGGAAGGCCATCTGTCAGGCGGGATCAGACTGTGTCTTCCTTTCTGGCAGAAGGGGGTTGGACTGGATGACCTTTGAGGTCCCTATGCACTCCAGGATATTATTAATATTAGTATTAATATTCAGCAGAGGACGAAAGACTGTCATATGTATTTTTAACAGTCTTGATAGCCATTTGTCAGGAGGGATCAGACTGTGTCTTCCTTTCTGGCAGAAGGTGGCTGGACTGGATGACCTTTGGGGTCCCTTTGCACTCTAGGATATTATTACTACTACTACTACTACTACTACTACTATTATTATTATTCCGCAGAGGATGAATGGCCATCATATGTATTTTTAACAGTCTAGTGGCCATCTCTCAGGAGGGATCAGACTGTGCCTTCCTTTATGGTAGAAGGGGTTGGACTGGATGACCTTTGGGGCCCCTTTGCACTCTATGATATTATTATTATTATTATTATTATTATTATTATTATTATTAATTCAGAAGAGGATGAATGCCTGTCATATCTATTTTTAACAGTCAGGATGACCATCTGTCAGGAGGGTTAGCTTGTACTTCCTGGCAGGTGGGGGTGGGACCGAATGACCTTTGGGGTCCCTACAAACTCTATATTATTATTGTTATCATTATTACTATTATTCAGCAGAGGATGAATGGCCATCAGATGTATTTTAAACAGTCTGGATGGCCATCTGTCAGGAGGGATCAGAATGTGTCTTCTTTTCTGGCAGAAGAGGGTTGGACAGGGTCCCTTTGAACTATTATTATTATTATTATTATTATGCAGGGAATTAATGCCCGTCAAGGATTCTGTGATATGTATTTTCAGCAGAGTCTGGGTGGCCATCTGTCGGGAGGGATCGGATTGTGCCTTCCTTTCTGGATGAATGGGGTTGGACTGGATGACCTTCAGGGTCCCTTTGAACTCTATATTATTATTATTATTATTATTATTATTATTATTATTATTATTATTATTATTATTATTATGCAGAGAATGAATGCCCATCAAGGATTCTGTGATATGTGTTTTCAGCAGAGTCTGGGTGGTCATCTGTTGGGAGGGATCGGATTGTGCCTACCATTCTTTCCGAACTCTAGGATTCTGTGCTTTCCCTCGAAATCCCTTAACGTGGTCCAAGCTGATTGAGCAGGAAGGCTTATGAGCTTGAGAGAGTGGATGAGGAGATAAGGGGATGAGTGGCCACACCAAGCGCATCCTCCCGCCTTCCCATTGGCCGGATTATGTCCGTTTCCCGCGCCTCCCAATCGCCCTTGATCGGAGACCCAGATCGGCCGGCCACCCCCCCCCCCCTTCGCCCTTCTGGCCGGCTGGGAAATCGGGCAAGCCGTCTGGGCAGCGGCTGGGTCACTCGCCTATTTTTATCCCCTGCTTCCTCTTTCCACGCCACCTCTGAGCATCCTTCTACTCGTGACACTGGTGGTTGGGATCCTGTCCTGCCTGCTTTCTCCCTTCTCCAGCTCAGAGGAGGCCTCCCTCACACTGTCTCCATGCTCTGGCCACTCTCTTTGGACAAGCTCCCTTTGGGGCTCTTCCTTCCTCAGTTTCCCTCTTCACTCCTCCCTCCCTTCCTCTCTCTTCCTTCCTTTCTCTTTCTTTCTTTCTTTCTTTTTTCTTTCTTTCCTTCCTTCCTTCATTCCTTCTTTCTTTCTTTCTTTCTTTCTTTCCTTTCTTTCTTTCTTTCTTTCTTTCTTTCTTTCTTTCTTTCTTTCTTTCTTTCTTTCTTTCTTTCTTTCTTTCTTTTTTTTCTTTTTTTTTCTTTTTGCCTAAGTGGAGTATCATGCATTTGTCCCCATTGAACTTCATTTTGTCATTCTTTCTTATCTTTCCTTCCACCTTCTTCCTTCCTTCCTTCCTCTTCCTTCCTTCCTTCCTTCCTCCTCTTCCTTCCTTCCTTCCTTCCTTCCTTCCTTCCTTTTCTTCCTTTTCTTCCCTTGCTTTCCCTTGTATACATCCCCTCTTCTTTCCTCCCTTCCCTTTCTCTCCCTTCCTTTCTCTTCCCTTGCTTTCCGTTATATGCCTTCTCTCGCTTCTTTCCTTCCTTCCTTCCCTTTCTCTCCCTTTTTCTTCTCTTGTATACATACCACCTCTCCTTCCTTTTCCTTCCCTTTCTCTCCCTTTTTTCTCTTTTATATACCTTCCCCCTCTCCTTTCTTTCTCCTTCCTTCCTTTCCTTTATATACCTTCCCCTTTTCCTTCCTTCCTTTCTTTCTTTCTTTCTTTCTCCCTTTCTCCCTTCTTTCCTTCCTTCCCTTATATACATTCCCCTTTCTTTCCTTCCTTCTTCATCTTCCCTTCCTTTCCCTGATATACCTTCCCCCTATCCATCCTTCCATCCATCCTTCCTTTCTTTCTTTCTTTTCTTTCCTTTCCTTCCTTTGTTCCTTCCCTCCCTTATATACCTTTCCCCTCTTCCCTTCCTTTCTTCCTTTCACTCTCTCTCTTTCTTTCCTTCCTTCCTTCCCCTTTAATACCTTCCCCCTCTCCTCCCTTCCTTCCTCTTTCCCTCCCTCCCTTCCTTTCATTCATTCTTTTTATTTCTTTCATTCCTTCCTTCTCTTTATATACCTCCCCCTCTTCTTTCTTTCTTTCATTCATTCTTTTTCTTTCCTTCCTTCCTTCCTTCCTTCCTTCCTTCCTTCCTTCCTTCCTTCCTTCCTTCCTTCCTTCCTTCCTTCCTTCCCCTTTCCTTTCATTCCCCCTCTCTCTTTCTTTCCATTCTTTCTTTCATTCCTTCCTTTTCCTTTCATTTCCCTTTCTCTTTCTCTCTCCCTTTCTTTCCATTCTTCCTTCCTCTCTTCTTCTCTTCTTTCTTTCTTTTTCTTCCTTCCTCCCTTCTTCCTTCTTCCTCCTTCTTCTCCCTCCCTCCCTCCCCTCCCTCCCTCCCTCCCTCCCTCCTCTCCTTCCCCTTATATACTTTTCCCTCTCCTTTTCTTTCTTTCTTTCTTTAATTCTTTTTCTTTCTTTCCTTCCTTCCTTCCCCTTATGTACCTTCTTGTCCTTTTCTTTCATTCATTCATTCATTCTTTTTCTTCCCTTCCTTTCCCTGATATACCTCCCCCCTCTCCTTCCTTCCTTCCTTTCATTCTTTAATTCCTTCCTTCCTTCCCCTTATATACCTTCTCGTCCTTTTCTTTCTTTCTTTTTCTTTCCTTTCCCTGATATACCTCCCCCCTCTCCTTTTCTTTTTCTTTCTTTTTCTTCCTTCCTTCCTTCTTCTTCCCTTGCTTTCCCTGATATACCTCCCCCTCTTTCTTTCCTTCCTTCCCCTTTTCTCCCTTCTTTCCCCTTCTTCCCTTGCTTCCTCTTATATATCTTTCACTCTTCTTTCTTTTTCTTTCTCTCCATTCCTTCTTTTCTCTTCTACCCTTGCTTTCCTTTATATATATTTTCCCCTCTTCTCTTTCTTCCCTTTCTCCTTCTTTCTTCTTTTCTCTTCTTCCCTTGCATACCTTCCTTCTTCTTCCTTCCCCCTTCCTTTCTCTTCTCCCGTCCTTCATCCCTTCTTCCTTCTCATCCTTTCCTTTCTCTTCCTTTCTCTTTCCCTTCCTCTTACACATGTCCTCTTTCCTTTCTCTTCTTTCCTTCCCTCCTTTTTCTCCTCTTCCTTTCCCTCCCTCTTTCCTAGTGACATCACAGAGGGTCACTTCACCTGGCAACAGATGTACTTTGCACACACACACATATACTCACCTATTTTAGGGCATCGGGTTCTCAGGAGCGAGTGAAGTTTGGAAAAATGGGAAATACGCAAGGCAAAATTAGTGAAAATTATAGTATTTGCTTGGGACTGCATTTTGCCTGCGGAAGAGGTGCGTCGGCCCCGAAATGTGCTCCGGGAAACCCGATACGGCCCCGAATTGGATCC